TTTTTTTTTTTTTTTTTTTAATTTTTTATTTGCATCACAGTCTAACTCTGTCATCCAGGCAAGAGTGCAGTGCAATGATTGTACCTACCACAGCCTCAATCACCTGGACTGAGGTGATCCTCTCACCTCAGTCTTCCAAATAGCTGGTACTACAGGTACGCACCACCATACCCAACTAATTTTTTTTTAATTATAGATACAAGGTCTTACCAAATTTCCCAGGTAGGTCTCGGATCCCTGGGCTCAAGCAATTCTCTCGCCTCGGCCTCCCAAAGTGCTGGGATTACAGGTGTGAGCCACCACGCCTGGTGCATGCAGGCTTTTGAACAGGGTTTCACATTCACAAGAAAACAGGGCAGAAGAGTGACAGGACCGTCGGAAGCTGATGTGGGGACTTGTCCCCACATCAGCCAACTGGCCATCGCAACTCAAACTCATGTCTTGGTAAAATTGTAAATTGCTACAAGCCAGGCCGACTGAGTGGTAATTAAAGCTCAAACATAAAATCATCAGATGACAAGAATCTACCATATGGAGAGCAGGGGTGAGTGTCAGATCTGAGCCTAAGACAAGACCCCGGCCTGTTGAGCTCTCTGTTCCATTTGTTCTTCTTAGGGTTAGTTCATTGCTTTAGACAGACAAGGTATTCTTTTTTTTGTTGTTTTTTTGGAGTTGGAGTCTCACTCTGTCGCCCCGATTGGAGTGCAGTGGCACACTGCTCCTAGACACTGCAGCCTCGACCTGCTGGGCTCAGGCGATCCTTCCGCCTCAGCTTTCCAAGTAGCTGGAACTACAGGTGTGCACTACCACGCCTGGCTAATTTTTGATTTATTGTAGAGACGAGGTCTCACTGAGTTGCCTGGGTGGGTCTCGAACCTACAGGCTCAGGCAATCCACTCATCTTGGCCTCCCAAAGTGCTGGGATTACAGGTTGAGCCACCAAGCCCTGCCAGACAAGGTATTCTGAGATCCTGACTCCATTCCAATTTCATGTAATTCACAAAATTGATAAATATAGTTTATTTATCTTGACCTAAATAATTTATTAAAATGTTAATTAAGGCACTGCCAGGATAGTGAAATGGCTTATTTAAAAAAAACCCCAAACCGGGTGCGGTGGCTCAAGCCTGTAATCCTAGCCCTTTGGGAGGCTGAGGTGAGAGGATTGCCTGAGCCCACGGGTTAGAGACCAGCCTGGGCAACTTGGCGAGACTTCATCTCCACAATAAATCAAAAATTAACCTGGCATGGTAGCATGCACCTATAGTTCTGGCTATTTGGAAGGCTGAAGCGGAAGGATCACCTAAGCCCAGCAGGTCAACGCTGGCGTGGCCGTGAGCATGTCACTGCACTCCAGGCTGGGCAATGGAGTGAGACTCCAACTCAAAAATAAAAATAAAGATAAACCTTCAGGTTGGCCAGGTGTGGTGACTCACACCTGTAATCCTAGCACTTTGGGAGGTAGAGGAGGGAGAATTGCTTGAGTCCAGGAGTTCAAGATCAGCCTAAGCAGCTTGACAAAACCTTGTCTCTACAAAAATTAAAACATTTAGGCCAGGCGCGGTGGCTAAACCTGTAATCCCGGCACTTTGGGAGGCCAAGGAGAGAGAATTGCCTGAGCCTGGGGGTTCGAAACCAGCCTGGAAAATTTGGTGAGACCTTGTCTCTACAATAAATCACAAAAACTGGCCAGGTGTAATGGCGTGCGTCTGTAGTTTTAGCTACTTGGAAGGCTGAGGCGGAAGACTCGCTGGAGCCCAGAAGGTCAAGGCTGTGGTGGCCAGGAGCATGCCACTACACTCCAGTCTGGGCAACAAGAGTGAGACTCCAACTCAAAACAAATAAATAAATTACATATTAATAAAGTATTTAAAAATAAATAAATAAATAAAACATTTAGCTGGGCGTGGTGCTGTGCACTTGTAGTCCCAGCTACTCAGGAGGCTGAGGCAGGAGGATCACTTGAGCCCAGGAGGTCAAAACTGCAGTGAGCCAGGATCATGCCACTGCATTCTAGCCTGGGTGACAGAGTGAGACCCTGACTGGGGAAAAAAACAGACACACAAAAAACCTTCAGGAGGGTTAACACTAGTTAATTTATTATTATTGTTTTTGAGTTGGACTCTCACTCTGTCACCCAGACTGGAGTGTAGTGGCCGCTCCTGGCCACGGCAGCTTCAACCTGCTGGGCTCCAACGATCCTTCCGCCTCAGCCTTCCAAGTAGCTGGAACTACAGGCGTGCACTACCGCGCCTGGCTAATTTTTTGATTTATTATAGAGATGAGGTCTTGTCAAGTTGCCCAGGCAGGTCTCAAACCTGCAGGCTCAGGCAGTCCTCTCACCTCAGCCTCCCAAAATGCTGGTGCTACAGGCTGAGCCACCGAGCCCAGCTCTGTTGTTCTATTTCAAGTAAATATTTATTCATTTTGCTGTAGGAACATTAAGTTTGATTTCAGGGTGCTGTTCTAGTTTCTACTGAGAACATTACACTATACTATATATAATATATTCATTATCTCGGTTTATTTGTTGTTGTTAAAGACAGGGTCTCTGTATGTTTCCAGGCTGGCTGAACTCCTGGGCTCAAGTGATTCTCTTGCCTTCGTCCTCCTGAGGAGCTTCAGGCACGTACATTGCACCTGGTGAGCTCACCTTTTTACAGGTGAAATAACTGAGGCTCAAATAGATGCAGTGTGTTGCCCAAGGTTGTCACACATCTAGGGAGAGTAACGAATTGAATTTTTACTTTTTTTAATTTTATTTTTAATCTCATTTATTTTTTAGTTTTAGTTTTTTTTTTAATTTGTTTTTTGTTTTTGAGTCAGATTCTCACTGTCGCCCAGGCTGGAGTGCAGTGTCACGCTCTCCACCACTGCAGCCTTGACCTGCTGGACTCAGGCGATCCTTCCACCTCAGCCTTCCAAGTAGCTGGAACTACAGGTGCCTGCCTCCACACCCAGCTAATTTTTGGATTTATTGTAGAGACAAGGTCTCGCCAAGTTGCCCAGGCTGATCTCATACCCTGGACTCAGACAGTCCTCATGCCTCTGCCTCCCAAAGTGCTGGGATTACAGATTGAGCCTCCACACGCAGCCTAGTTTTGGTTCTTTTTCCCCCATTGCACTGTACTGCTTCCCCATGACATTACCTCCAAAGACCATCTTAACGATACATTCTTCTATGTGGAAGAATGTAAGCAATGATGTTTATCTTATTTGACTTTTAATAAATGTTTTACTTAAGTAAAATATTCAGGTTTTCCCATGACATTAAACTCTTCCAGCTAGTTAGTTCCCCTAATTGTTGTGATTATGCTTCAGGAATATCTTGACTTTGTAAATGAGATTAAAAAGTAAATGAGGCAGGGCGCAATAGCTCCTGCCTATAATCCCAGAACTTTGGGAGGCTGAGGTGAGAGGATTGCCTGAACCCACGGGTTTGAGACCAGCCTGGGGCACCTGGCAAGACCTCATCTCTGCAATAAATCAAAAAATTAGGTATGGTGGTATGTGCCTGTGGTTCCAGTTACTTGGAAGGCTGAGGTGGAAGGATCACCTGAGCCCAGCAGGTCGAGGCTGCAGTGGCTGTGAGCGTGCCACTGTACTCCAGCCTGGGTGACACAGTGAGCCTCCAACTGAAAAAAAAAATAAATGAGTGTAAGCCAGGCATAATAGTTCACGCCTGTAATCCCAGCACTTCGCGAGGTGCAGATAAGAGGATGGTCTGAGTCCAGAGGTTCAAGAGCAGCCTGGGCAACTTGACTAGACCTCGTTTCTACAATAGATAAAAAAATTAGCTGGGTGTGGCAGTGCACACCTGTGGTTCTAGCTATTTGGAAGGTTAAGGCAGTAGGATCACCTGAGCCCAGCAGGCTGAGGCTACAGTGACTGTGAGTATGTCACTGCACTCCAGCCTAGGCAACAGAGTGAGACTCCAGTTAAAAAAAAGGAAAAAAAGTAAATGAGTTTCAATATGGTCAAGAATTGCGTTTACTAAGAAGAACATCTAAACCACTTTCTTAGGATGAGTAACTTCTAGCTAACAATTGCAGTTCCCTACAGAAACTAGGAATCTTGGTAAACTATTCCTAGAAAAATTAGCTCAGTGTGCTGCCGGGGAAATGCTGGGCATCATTAGGAATAGAATCAGTACCAAACAAAGATAAAAATAAACTTCCATATATGTAAAACAAAATTTTGTTTATGTTTGTGATACTGTATATTCTATTGACCCCCAAGAAATACTTATCAGAGCTAGTGACCAAAGACGGTGACAACTTTAATAAAAACATGTGACCAGGC